CCGCAGGATCCACTTCCTCAGATGGAGGCCGTTAGATGGGGGCGGGGGGTTCAAGGAACTGACACCTAACCACCTCCCTCGTCTCTCCCAAGCACACACACACACACACACACACACACACATCCTTTCTCTCTGCCCACCACTGCACCGCCCATTCCACTGTCTCTCACCACATTATCAGCGCAGGAAGAGGCAGGGTGGTGCATTCTGATGTGGCTGCACACACTGGATGATTCTTGGCTTATGTATTGTATCTTTGTCTTGGTAGTTGCCGGTCATGCTTCACCTTTAAGAGTACACCTATCGCTGCATGTGTCATGTGATGAAGTCAGGTGTACCACACACAGAGATGTAAAACGTGTACGTGAAGTCCAGGTTTTAAGTTGCTTTGCTCAGCCCTTGACTTGTCCCTTGAAAAAGAGCACAAGTGAGCTTAGGTTGAGGCGATGCTGCACTGAAGTGGACAATAGACTGAGAAGGGTGGGACTTCCTCGCCCTAGCCATGCAGGTTAAAGGTCAGGTATGATGCTATACCTTGTTTTATGAACTTGGCCCTAAAATTAGATAATTTAAATTGTATAGATTACACAGTATATCCATAAAGATATATCTATTGAATTTAATTGAATTAAATCAATTCCTGAAAATCCACATCAAACCATGCACCCTAAGTTACCCAATGAAACAAAGGCCAGTGCCAGTCAACTGTGTCAAGCAAGTGTGCTGTGAGTGTGCACGCAGGATGGCGGGCAGCTATGGCAAATGGACAGAGTGACCCATTATCAGTTGATTAGTGAGCAAGTCTCGCCTTTTCCTGCAAGTGGTCCTTTATTTGCAAGCGTACAAACGAGGGAATAACAGCCCCTAATGCACTTTGGCATCAACTTCAAACGTCCGACTGTCAGGAAAGCTAATCTGCACCCCCCCCTTCATTCTTATGTTTTGACAATAAAGATAGCCTATCTCATCCTATTGCAAGCTGCCCGTCTCCCGCCTTGTCCCTGATATGCCCGACAACTAGTCCAACAGAGTGTGTTACCCAATGGGACTGCTGGGACACTTTGATTGCACTGCTATCAACCTTTATATATTGCTGCAGGGAGAGGTGCTATCCTAGCGTTTCCCCAAATAAATCCAAGGTTAAGTGATATGAATAGGTTGTTTCATTGCGTGTGTCTACAATGTCTATAGAGAAAAATATATATATAATAAATAATAATATCCTGTTTACTGTAGTTGTTCTCTAATAAGCTCCCCCAAAAACCTGTAGCGCCACTGGCAGAAACTGTTCACCGTTTCTCTGTAACAGTGCAGTGTCCAGACAGTATTTCAGTAGCAGTTGTTGGACGATAGGTCTTATTAGCATATGTGAAACATTTTTATATTTTTCCCCTAAAGGAACGGTTTACAACATGAGCATCATTCAGCAACACATTATTATTGTCCTAAATATCCTTCCCAAGGAATATAGTGAATTAATGACTGTAAATTGCAATTCTTGAATAGATTTTGGCCATCAGAATCACCATCTCTTGACCTCAGGTGATCAGTATCAGTCTGTTTTGGGGGTTTTTAAATCACATTGAACAAACTATTCTTTCTTTTAAGCCACACCGATAATGCACTAACCACTCACACTCTCTCGTTCACACACACCTTATATCTGGCTTATGTGTCACTTCCTTAGAGGATAACCAGTCT